GGAGACAATCGAGAGCGTCATCGATGCGGGGTAAAGGGTAATTGCCTTTTTCGTGATTCTATTCAGATGGCGGTCATCCACGCAGAAGCGCCACGTGCCATCTTTCTTTTTAACGAACACAATGGTGGGACGCCCAAGGGCTCGAAGAGGGTTCAATGATTCCCTTGGCTAACATCTTGGTAACTTCTTGTTGAATTATTTTACGCTCGGTGACAGATGCCCGGTATGTTCACCGATGAATGGGATGAAAATCACCTGTGTTAATGCGGTGCTTGACAAGTGAAGTCTGGCCGAGTGGACGGCTGTCTATGTCGAATATGTTGCGGTATGAAGCCAGAAGGCGGCAGAGCGCGGCCGACTTCTCAGGTTTGAGGTCCGGGGCGATCATGGAGCGTAAGGTTGCATACAGGCATGTGGCATCCTGCGAGTGACGTGGGTGATCGGGACATACGTCTGCCGCAAAACAGGTGACGTGGCGGTCAATTAAGTGTCTTAGCGTGGCGACGAATATTCCTTGAGGTAGCACTTGTTTTATAAAACCGAAATTAATAACAGGTAAATATGTTCGCTTTAGAGGCCATGGTTACGACGGAGTGAGGGACAGTAATGTCACGCGCCAGGAGAACATCAGGAATAGGCATCACGATATAATCACCGTCGGGCACGGGAGAGGGTGTTGCAAATTCAACGAATGTGAGAGCTTTAGGTGGTATCCGAAAGAAGTCAGTTGTGCACAAGCTGTTCATGAGTTCAGGGTGAGAATTCAGGAGAAGAGGAAGTTCTAAACAGAGAGAGAGGGCCGGTGGAACAGTCAATCAGGGCAGAATGCGTCGATAAGAAGTCCATTCCGAAGATGACGTCATGAGGGCAACTGTCGAGCACAGTAAATAAAACAGGAACATGGTGGCCGGCAAGGCTAATTCGAGCGGTACACATTCCAATGACGGCTACAGTTCCACCATCGGCGACACGGACGGCTTGTGTTGTGGCAGGCGTGAGCACTTTTTTGAGGCGGTGACACAGACGAGCACTCAATATAGACACCTGAGCTCCAGTGTCAACTAAAGCCGTCAAAGAAAGACCGTCCACATGCACTTCCAGCAAGTTCTTATTAGTAGGTAGCGTCAACGGAGGATTTAGGTCAGTCGCACTTGATGCAGCACTATCTCCAGGAGCTGCATAATCTAGTTTTCCATCCGGGAAGATCCATAGCTAGTTGGCGATGAATAGCGGCAAGGTTGCGGTGACGGAGAACGGCGGCGTTGCGGTGACGGTGAACGCGCGGTAGAGCGGCTGTTAGGTGCGTCGGGAGCAGGATACTCACGGCTGGGCGAATACCGATGGGGGTCCGCGTATGGCCGAGGAGAAGAAAATTGGCTCCAACGGGGGGGGGGGGAAGGGGGGGGGGGGGCGTCCAAGTGCTGCAACAGTAGCGGGAGACATGGCCAGCTCGGTGAAAGCGGAAGCAGATTGGCTTGTCGTCCGCTGTTCTCCACTCCGTTGGATTGCGGGATCTGGGCAGAGTGTATGGGTCGTGGCGTGGTGCATTTATTGGCATCGGTCTGTAGTCCGGTCGGGAGACTGAGCAGGCGACAGAAAAACCAAAGTTAGCAATTTCTTGCCGCACGACTGCCTGAATAACTGACACCGCTGGAAGTGTTTGCACGGTGCCCTGGTCGAGTGGAAGTGCTTGAATGGCGCCGGACGGGCCGCCTCAAGCTCGTGCTTAACGATGCGTGTGACATTCTTGTGCAAGGGATGTGCGGCACCGAGATCGGTACAGGTTGACGTGACAGCCGTGTTAGGGAGCCGTGAAAATTGAGGTCGAACTCGGCGGTTTTTGGCCCTTTCGAAGCGGTGGCATTCCTTAATTATGATATCGACGGTCGTGACGTTGTTGTACACGAGCAAGTTGAAAGCGTCGTCTGCGATGCCCTTTAGTATATGGCCCACCTTGTCGCTCTCGTTCATTTGCTCGTCCACTTTGCGGCACAACGCGAGCACGTCCTGTATGTACGAGACATACGACTTGGTTAATGACTGTACTCGGGTGGCGAGTTCTTGTCGTGCGGCCGTTTGTTGACTGGACGGGTCCCCAAAGATGTTGCGTAGTCGGTCCTTGAAGATGTCTCAGCTGGTGAGCTCAGCCTCATGAGCGTCGAACCATAAACGCGGAGTGCCATCCAAGTAAAAGATTATGTTGACGAGCATCATGGTTGGGTCCCATCGGTGAGATGGGCTAACGCGCTCGTACATGCGGAGCCAGTAGTCGACGTTAAGGCCAGGCTGGGCGGAGAACGTACCGGGATCACGGGGGTGGGACAGCGCAAGGTACGTAGTAGCTGGCGCTCCAGGTGATGGCGGTGAGGGGGGGTTATTAGAAGCCATGGTCGGAGGCTGGACGGTGCGGCCACTGCGAAGCTTCGTGGTGAGGACGGGGAACGTTGCACCTCCACTAAATGTGTTACGGAAGAGAGACGCCATATCGATGAGGCTGTACATGAAATATATTTCAAACCAGCAGCAGCAGCGGCGTGACCGGTAGACTAGACAACGTGCGGAGACCACCCTTCGTCTTCCTCGTCAGGCACACACGCGTGTGTGTCGCCCCCTAAAATCTCAATTTGCATGCATGTAGCAATATTTTTACTCGTGAGCTCACCTGGCTTTTGGAATATTTGTGCAGTAAAAAAAATAGTGCTTAAGTTAACTGATTATTTTCTGATTTGCCTTGCTGAAATACTGCTGTATTTATTATTAGCCTTAAACAGTTATGGGAAGCTATTAGTAAAATGTAATTACTGTTCACCTTGCTAGAATGCTTTCCTTTTCTCTCTTTTTTCTTGGAGAGTGCCACCTTCTTGGCCCACCTGTTTTTGAGGTAGCGTGATGCCGTGACGACAGTGTTTGGCCGTAAACACTCTGCTTAGTTGCCTAAGAAAAATATACTCATAATAGGGCGCTAAAATGTTCATTGAACAATCGGAATGGTTCTGCCATTCATAATTTTCAAGTATTTTTTTTTCTAAACTCGTTAGAGTTCTGAGTGAGCCAAAATGAAAGCAGTCGCAAGTTGCTGCACAAAAAGCCCATTTCCGTAGACTTCGCTCCAATATTAAGAGAAGTTGTTGCCGAGTGTAGAGGCCCATATGTTGTACGATGTCAGCTTATGTTAAAGAACCGCTGGAGTTCAAAATACCGTATTCTCATAATTTGCTCACTTTGTTTTGCGATTTGGGGCCCTGAGAAGGGGGTGTGTGTAAATTACGCGGGTATGTGTAAATTACGCGGGTATTTCGCAAGGGCGTACAAAGTATTTGGTCGCAGTCCTAACGCGTGCGAAATATATGTCTATAAAAATTGGAGAAGAACCGCAATGTACTTGTTAATTTAGAAGATTTAGCACTTACTTTAACCAATCACATTCGGTCACGCACGATCTAATTGACCGCGAAGTCCGATTGGGAGTCATCGTCGCGGCTACTGCCACCGCCCTCCCAAAGCGCGTTGTCTTCGGTTTTGTCGACGGCGGTCGAATGCCCCATTTTCTTGGTGCTCCTCGCGACAATAGTGCGAAAAACTAAGTCCCAGGACACAGCGGTACTGCGTGACTTAAGCGTTCGCACATAATTGAGGAGGCCTTCTTCAGTGGCAGGAAACTTGCATTAGAAAGCGTGCACTCCTCTGCTTTCTCACATACCGATCGCGCCGATTGTCACATGCTGAAGTACGTCACCTTGAAGTGCTTAGTGATGGCATGGTTCCTATTTTCTTCTGCAAAATTTACTACAGAGAGCTTCAGTTTAGCTGTATACATATTTACTGTAGCAAATCGCAAGGGAACCATAAAAACGTGTCAGCCGGATGGCAAAACCTAAACTTCCGAAATGGACCAAGCGTGCGTTGCAGCGTGAACGCAGAGAACGAGGGGAACGGTTGGTGCAACAGACCTTAGAGCTCGCACGCCTTTAATGCAGAACGTTGTCTGTGCCGTGGCGCGAGTGCGCATTCTCGAGGCGGTAGGGATGGGGAGATGGAGGGAGGCAAACGCTTGAGCAGTTTCGCCGACCCGTCCGCAGCTAGGTTTGAGTGTTCGTGCACGGTATTCTAGGGAACCTACGGGAGAAGTCCTTGGAAGAATGGACTGTGTACTCGCAGCCCAGTTGACTGCGCTTGTCAGTTCAGTAAGGCGCATGCCTGTCCGAAGCATTGGAAAGTCTCTTCGTGCGCGCGCCGGTGCTCTGGCCCTGCTGGGTCGGGAAGCACAAAATATGTGAGTCAATGTTTTTTTTTTTTTAGCAAAGCTGGCGAAATATTAGGAGTGCACAAATAATGAGAGTAAATATGGTAATTGAAGCTGTCGTGATCATGTTGTGGTTTTGGGATGTCAAACCTTAACCATTGCACTCAAACCTCATTATAACGAAGTTGCATCTTACTTGATAATAATTTCTTTATATTCAAAATATTGTTATAAAGGTGTATTCCTAGCACTGTATCTATTGGAAGACTGTTTTTCATTTCCTTTGTTATAACCAATATTTCGTTATATATGGGTTCATTATATTAAGGTTTGAGTGTATATTAGATTTGTATGAGCAAGCAAATTGGTGAAATCCATGTTGTTTTTTACATAATTCATGTTGCAAGTGCATCACTACACAGCAAAATATAATGCGATTTAATACTTTGCATTAGATGGAGCACAATAAAGCAAGCATGCTTATAATTGACCACTAAAGATTTATAGAAACTCTGGTGCAACAGTATGCTTCTGTTGTTTTGTTATTCCTCGATTTTCTAGACCAGTGTGGAATATCGCAATATGTGCTTGTAAAGTATACCATGGGGGAATGAATGTCCTTTGGAAAGGCTGTTGGACAGGTTTCTTCATTTGTATCAAGATAGTGGCATGTTAATGTGGCTTTGAAGGCATAAATACTGGATTGCATTGTTTACATCCTTCAATCTGTCCTAAGGCTTAATTGTTTTTCTCTCAGTGCGCAGGCCATGCCTCGAAGGCGACATCGTTCCGAGAGCTGCGACTCGCACAGCTCGTCAGACAGCAGCTACCGACACAAGCGCAAGAGGCTCGCTAAGAAGTGAGTTGCCTTTTGAGGCCTTGAACTTTTGCCGCTGTTCTCTGGGATCGTGTCACCGAGTTTACAGTGGCGCAGCAGTGATTCTAGTCTTCTACTAAAGTGTGCCAAACGTAATTTGCTATAGTATCTCATTAATATTTATGTGAATTGTGCCAAATGGAGTCCTATATTTCTTGGCATTTGTAGGTTACAGTGCTGGCACATCAAAATATGTGGTACCTGATCTTGGAGCCACCATATAGTCAGAACCATGGACCAAGAATTATTCAGGAAATGAAACAGTGTGCACATGTGTGCATCGACTAACCCATGAAGCACTCTTTGCAGGCATACGATTTGAGTTACCGGATGCAGTTGAGCCGACAAATAACCATCCACCTTTTGTGCGCTTGTGCAGCTGTTGTACACGTATACACACACAAACTAAGAAAACTTCTGGCTTGGGGGGTGTAAGGGGTTGAGCCCCTAAAACCTTCTGCCTGCTACAGCTATGTGGAGGCAGTATATTGGACAATCTTATCTGCTCTAGGAAAGCTGCTGCTTGCTTGTTCTTCGAGTGTATCACGGCTTGTCAAGGCAACATTCTTTAATAACGGCATGTGCGGTGTTAAAATGTCTCTCACTTGTTTCTTGCCATTGCCAAATGTAATCTGAAAGAAGTCATAGATATAAGGAATCATATCAACTTTCTCGTGTGTGTCACCTATCGAAGAGCATCTGAACAGTGGGAATGCGCTTATAGCTTTCCTCAAACATATCCTCTTCATATTTTGTTGTATAGAAGTGCTTTTACAGCCAAACCACTTACCTCTAGCTCGCGCATTCCCAGGGTAAGTAGTTTGGCCAGCTTGCATCTGCATGTAAGCACCATATGCAGACAAAATGGACAAAAATATAGGCAAAATGTGGTGGAGTCGGCCCTGCTATTACAGTGCACTTGCATAGTGGGGCTTACTTCAGGGTTTTGTAGTTGCACTGTTGTGTTGCAATGTAGAGAACTGTGAGGAACCGAAGTGGGCAGGCTTTCACAGCAGCACCGCTTATACAGGCAGTCAAATCAAGACTGTGCATAAGCGGAGGATGCATCAAACGACCGAGAATCGAAAGTAGGCGTCCTGACTGCCGTTTTCTAGAACGTTCCTTCACTCAATGCTTCACTTCAACTTTAAAAAGTTGATGGCAGCGCAGTCTCTTGGCAGACCAAGTCACTGCATATCGGCAATAATCTGCAGCGATTCTTTAGGAGCGCAGCATCAATTTCAGTCGAGCGGCGGCGCAGTGCTCAACTCTGTCAAGTAAAGGATGGAATTCCAGTCGAGGAGCGTTTCTGAATATGGGGGTGAGAGTCATTGCCTTGGGTCATTGCCTTGGGTCACTAACACCGGTGAAAAGAGCACAAGGCCGCAGAAATGCGAATGCAGCTTCGCTGATTCACCGCCATCTCGTGCTTTCGTCAACGTCACTTGCAATAAGTGTCCCTAAGAATGCCCTTCTTGCTCAGCCTTTTGAGTGGGTGGGTCCGTGTTAGTTTCTTCTTGCCTTTTAAAATATTGTCGCATTTATAACAGTTTGCCTACCAGTCGGAGAGGCTGCGTTTATGTTTCATATGCGCAGGTGTCGAACGTTGGCCCATCACTGATGGCCCTGGTGTTCGAAGGCCCACTCCAAAAGGGCTACACTACTGTATTTAATCTAATACGGGCCAATAGTCTTTTCTGTTCTTTCTTATATTTTCAAATATCTTTGTATAAAGCTCTAGGGTCAGCTTAGATTGGAGGACTTTGAAAAATGCGTGAATTTTCATTAAAAAAAAGTGCTGCTCAACTAGCGCCACCTAGACGGTATTATAGCCGTTGGTAGCTAAAAGTACAGGCATTGAGGCGGGCCGTTTGTTAATAGTCTTTTCTGTTCTTTCTTATATTTTCAAATATCTTTGTATAAAGCTCTAGGGTCAGCTTAGATTGGAGGACTTTGAAAAATGCGTGAATTTTCATTAAAAAAAAGTGCTGCTCAACTAGCGCCACCTAGACTGTATTATAGCCGTTGGTAGATAAAAGTACAGGCATTGAGGCGGGCCGTTTGTTATTTTGAGTTGCGGTTCGTGTGTTCTGTGTGTGGGATAGCTCAATGGCGCCAAACAGGTGGGGCAATTATGGTGCCGCTTATAAAAGGAAAGTTGTCCTAGCCACATAGTCTTTGTCCAACGTTCAAGCAGGGCGGGATTTTTGTGCAACGCTAGAGGGGCTCCAACGATGGACGACATAGTTGAAACTTTATTTTTTTCGCTCATTTGAAAAGTGAGGCATATCCAATCTGCTTGATGGCACCGAGAATTGCGAACTGTTTAAAGACAGCGACAAAGAAGTCAGTGATGAAGACTCTGAATGAGCGCAGCATCCTCATCATGCAGATAACTAGAAGCAGCGCAAGAAAAACGCCGACAAAAAATTACACACAACAGGTCATGCTGTTCTATGTTTCTCGAGTGATTTCCGTTATGAACCGACTGCTTTGTTTCATCTTCATATTCAAAAATTGTTATCTTTTTTGTGAACGCTGACTTCGCTGTTTTGTTTGACCTACAGTCGAGGTAAAATTCTTTTTTTTTTTTGGGGCTTCAAACTTTTGGGGGTCGGCCTAGTTTCAATGAAATACGGTGCATTGTGCATGCCAATTGTGCAGAAAAAAAAAAAAAAAAAAAAACAAGAGCTTGAAGGGAGGAACCACTAGACAGGCGCACACTAACAAGTGAAAGTTTATCGCTGGAAAAATACAGATATATGTAAAATGCTAAGCCATGAGTTATAATTACACATTGGCAATAAGATGGCCAATGTCAGGTTAATGCAGGCTCACCAGTGGCTTAGCCACACGTATCAACGAACTTGGAAGGCCCCAACAACCTCTTGTGTGGTCTTAGAGCCTCGACAATACCTTAGCTGCATTTAGTAAAAGATAAATTTTACAATCTTTACTGGGCAAGTGGTATCCACAGTGGAATACCAACTCTTCCAACGCTCTGTTCTTCTGCATTGTACATGAATTTATTTTATTTGAAGATACTGCTAACTCTTGGTGGAGTTGTTGCAGAGTGGGGTTACTTACCCTCAAGAATGACACATAGAACTTTTTAGGGAAAACACTGGTGTGAAATGGCGAAAATATAAAGTGCAGAACTAAAACACAACTTTTTAAACAAAAGAAGCACAAAATGTATGGTGACAAGATTAAGGGAAAAAAAAGAAATACAACCTTCTCAAGCTTACATATAAGGCAAAAGGCATGTAGCACAAAGAAAGGAACTTCACACGACAAACTTGCGAGTAATAAGTCGAACAATTCTATGCTGTTAGTTTCAGCAATGGGTGGGCATTTCACTCAACGATCGTTCGTGGAAGGAAGACTTTAAAACATTATTAGCCGTTCGATGTAGTGTGATTGAAAAACATTGTCGCCCTCTGGTATTGTAAACTGTCGGAAAAGGCACATACTTAGATATGCTGCTATTCAGGTGACCCTTTAACTATCTTAAACATAAAACGTAATCATGCAAATTCATTCCTATAGGAGGTGTGCTTTGGATTAACTTGCAACATCATCCCGTCACTTGGTGCATTATTCCCTTCCCGTCCAGAGTCAAGTTAGCAGTAAAAAAAAAGTGAAAAAAAATATAAAGTAGTGTTTTTTATGGCATCTAGTCCCCAGTTTCAAATAATCTCGAGGAGTCTCAACTTGCAGCCGGTCACAGTGTCCTAGGCAACCCGGTGCATGCAGATTGTGTGGAAGCATTTTGAGGAGGCTTTTGCTGCTACACTGAAAGAAGGATATGTGTGAGAGCAGGTTAGCTTGCTGAGGATAGCCTAGTGGTGTTGTGTTGCCCCCAGCCTTTTTTACAAAGAAGCCTCAAACACCCGCGTGCACTCCACGCATGCATTCCTAGGGAGCGGGGTTGGCGGAGGGGGCACTTTCACAGGGGTGCAATAGCTGTGCCAATTTGACACAATTCCCAGTTTTTACGCCGAGCTGTGCCAAAACCATGAAATTTGCTTAAATTGCGCCTAGCTGCACCGGAATGCCCAACCTGCCTCAATGTTTTCTCAGTTACGCTACTTCAGCGAGAAACAGCGGCCACGTTGGTTATTTGCATACGTATAGTTTGCATGCATCATCAGTCAATTTAAGTGCTGACGCTAATCCTAAACCACGTTGTAAAAATATATTTCTATTAGGTCAGGGCACTCGCGGCACGCAATGAACCAGATAAAGTGACAAAGCTGCGCGCCATCTCTTCGCTGACTGCTGCAAATACCTATCGCAAGACGACGCAACTTAAAAACAAAAAAACGTTGCTGTAGCCACCAATGCCTTGTGGGAAAAATTAACTTCATAGTCAGCGAACATGGCTGTGACATGTTAGCAACTAAAGCTGGAAGAATATGCTGCATTTCCCGCATGCGAACAGACTTGACGTGCTGTGAAAATGCCGGCGACCAGATTGGTTGCCATAGCAACGGTCGATAAGCCTTTTTTTTTGTCTTGAAGTTGCATTGTCTCGGCGCAAGATATCTGGTACCGTCAGCAGGCCAGCAGGCGCACGCAGTTAATTTATCTCGTCGAATGAAAAAAAATAAATAAATAGGGGGGGTAGCAGTGTTAAGCAGTGGTAGCAGGTAGCAGTAGTAGTGGTAGCAGTGGGTGCGTAGCAGTGTTTCATGACTTGTTCTAACTCGTGTGAAACACTGCTTAATCCACCTTTGTTGCAGTACACCTGTGTCCTGTGAAAAAGCACATGATAATTTTGAAGGAGCTGTTAACACTAATCACGGGACACAGCACATGTATAGAATACTTATGCATATATACAGCACATAGTTGTGAGTACTAGTAAGATCGATGACGTCTGTAAAAGTTAAGGGCAGTCATTTGGAGCAGCATATGAGATTTCTGGCGTCTTAAAGGGCCACTCGCCAGGTCCCACGCCAAATTTAGTTAGACCGTTA